CATTCTGCCCCCACCACACACTGTCCATCCAGCAGCCAATGTGACAGTTATAAAGCAAAATTAGAAAATGCCACTCTTCCCCTTCGTGCCTCGAGTAAAATCCAAAGTCCCCACCCCAGCCATGCAGGCTTTACCAACTACAGCCTCACCACCCAGCCCCTCCTCTCTCCTCTGTTCCTGCCTCAAGGCTCCCCACCCTGCTGCTCCTGGGACACTAAATGGCCACCTCCATCTTGCTCCCCAGGTCGCTGCTCCAGTGGCATCCTCTCCCCCATAACAGACCCTTCTCCGACCACAGCACTCCCCTTAACTCCACAGAGCCTGTGACTGTGCTTACATGGTGCCAACTCGGCGACACACTGGAGAAGGCAAGCATCACAAGGAGGGTGCCTTGTGCACAATGCCAGCACATCACAGGAACCCAGTAAGTATGTGCTGAGTGAACCGCATATAACATGAAAACATCAACCGTGTCCCCTCTGAACAGTTTTCTTCCTTCTACGTGCTGACCTCGGTCTCTGTTCTAAGCTAAGTTCCTGGAGGCCTTATTCGGTCTCCACGTGCTGTAACCTGGAACCCGCATCTCCCAGTGAAAAGACCCGTAGACTTGTGCTGCCCCTGTGGGTAGAGCTCGGCTAGGGAGAGGAGGTAACGGTAAGGCACCCCAGGAGTGTCTGAGGCTGGTCCACACAGTGACGCTCCCGGGAAAGAAACAAGTGGTCCCAGGGACTGAACTTCTAACACACGGCAGTTAGTATAATGGGTCTCTCTTAGCACTTCCATCAGACCTGTGCCCTGGAGTAGACGCAGTATCAGGTAAACACCCTATTTTAGTCAATTTCCAAAGAAACAGACCAAGCGACATTTTACACACCTTCCAGTAACTCCTGACCACAAGAAGGCTTAGAGTCAGAACAGTGGGAGCAGTGTCTCCAGGCACCAGTGGCCAGTCTTTTCCATTACCTTCACCTCCTGCTCCTCAGAGGCTCCCACTCTCAACCTGGGAGGTTGAAACGTGCTGTTTGGGGGTGTTCCGTTGCAATCACATGGCCTATTCACATGGTACACACTGTCTTTCTAACCTTTCAGAGCAGAGAGCTAGAATTTTGTTATTCCCACTGCATTTCCAACGAAGTGCTGACTTGTAATCCCCTCTCCTACCATTTCCCTTTTCTGGCCCTCTGTGGGGTATGTCCCACCCCAGGTTCTGATTCAGGTCTGGGTGGGACCCAGGAGTGTGCATTGCTCAACAGTTCCCAGGTGACGCCAGGGCTGCTGTCTAGGGGCCTTGGAGGGATACAGATCTGAGTTCCAGTCCCAACTCTGATCATGCTACTTAAGCTGAAGCCTCATGTGCACAGTGGAGGTAACACTGCCAACATCAGAGGGCCACTGTGTGAACGAGGACAAACACCATACAAAATACCTGGCCCAGGGCAAATGCTCAAGAAAGGAGACTTCCTCTCCTACTCGGAGTTACTGGGTCAGTTGTCCCAACAATCCTGGGGAGCGCGTGGACCTGCTGGCCTAAAGCCTCTCCTTCCTTATGAAACTTAGTCTCAACCACACAGTTTCAAGAGCTGAAATCCTGGGGTTCCTCTGAGGCAATGACTACCTGACTTTCCTATCTCCCCTATGAGGCAAACTTTGAGCCATAGTTCCCAAATCTTAGGCAACTGTGAAAACTCTGC